TGTCGACAAGTATAGAGGAGGTGATCAGGTGCTACAGGGAGAAGCTGTGAAGATTACTCACCTGTTCAGGGATCAAAAGGACAATGAGAAGGCGACAGAAGCTTTCAGTTCAGAGAGGACAGATTTTTATGAGACCTCAGGACCTCTTCCAAGAACCGAGGGAGAAAATCTTGTAGAGGACTTGCTCACCAAGGATGTTGCAGAACAAGCTTTTGAAGTAGGTGAAGAAGTTCCTCCTTATACAAGAGTCTCCACTATCGCTGGTGGAATCTATACTGGAAGTATGACACTTCTAGAAGATGAGAATATGGAAGAGGAAGTTCCTGAAGAAGATCCTGCAGTTGAACCTGAAAAGGAAGAAGAAATATTTGATGAGAATGCAGGTGTCTTTCCTTCAGAGGAACCAAAGATGGAAGACGACCAGGAGGAAGCCAAGGAAGAGTCAACACCACACTTTCTGTCAAGAGAGATAGGTGAAGACTCGACTGCATCGCACTTACCATCAGGTGAGATGGATGCTAACCTTGATGATACTTCAGGTCAGCGGAAATCGAAGAGAAGCCGCCTGAATAAGATTCCTGATCCTCATTTTCATGAAGAAGTTCAGGATGATGCAACCATGGAAGAGAAGAAAGAGGCGGTGGAGAAAATAAAAGAGGTCAGAGAGGATGATGGAGAGAAGAAATTGGAGGCTGAAATCCAAGAATCTTTTCCATCTGAAGTAGTTGTTGAAAAGGATACAACAAAAGCTGACAATACCTATGAATTGCATACTTCACCTTTGAAGTTGCTTGGAGAGCTTACAGGAGATCCAGGTATTGGCTTTTATCAACTACGCTTCAGGGAAACTCATGCAAGATTGCTGAATCATGTTTGTTTCAGAAAAGGTGAGATTTCCCATCCTCATTATCAGTCAAGGATCAACGAGAATGATTTTGTTCGATCCATTCGAAATGTCTGTCCAGTACCTCCACCTGATTGTTATGAACATGAACCAGAGCATGATTTGAAGAGATTCTTTATCAATGATGATCGCATCATTTATTTGGATGGCAAGTATCAGGTCGATCCAAAGGCCCTTAAAAGGGCAGAACATGCTCGAGAAGAATTGGAGGAGACGAAGAAGGAACTCAAGAATGAACTGGAATCATATGGTCCCAAAGGACCCAGTTGGGACTTTGTCACCTTCTATGAAGAGCTGTGCAGAAGGTTCCTCAAGGGTAGAATAGAAGAACAATATGGAACCAATTTATTGGCCAGCTCAGAGTCCTTGACATTTTTATCCTGGAACTATGGCAACATGGTTCGTGGTCAGAAGTACACCACACCAAGGTTTCTCCAAGGACTTGATGGTGCAATGAAGCCACGCAAGCAGAGTGCCATGTCACTTCAATATGAGCAATTTGAAAACAATCTTTTCTTCAACATGCTCTTCTTTTTACGTGCACATGTCGTGATTCTCCAGGAGGCTCATCTTCTTGTTCCTGCCAAGGAATTTATTGAGCAAAAGAATTGGACAGTTTGTTTCAATGATTGGGAGAATCTTGCAGTGATGGCTAGATTGGCACCAGGTGGATATGTCAAGATCATTGCTGGACATGATCAAGAACGTGGTCACTGTCAACAGCGTGATGTAACTTGGGCTATCTACGAGATTTGTTTTGGAGAAACAAGGCCTCGTCAAGATTTCAAGGATGCAGACTTTGAATTTGATGACTATGGTCCTGAGGACAAGCGTGTTCCACTTACTCGAGCGAACATGCATACCATCAGAGTCTGTAATTATCATGTTGACACACACCGTGCTGTGGATGCCCACCTACTGACAGGAGAACAGACAGCATTGATGCTTTATGAGTGTTTTGTCTATGAGGTGGACATCATTTCTGGTGATGCAAATAGTTTGGCCTACAGAATGTCTGGGTACAAAAGGCAGCCAATGGCTAACTACTATTACAGCACCATGCAGCATTGGATCCGCAGGTTTTCAGAAGCTCGTGTAAAAGCAGATCTTGGTATCAAAGCACCTATTCCCAGAACATTTTACAGTTCAACTTCACAGGTCCTCAAGAAGTGTGAAGTTTACTTTGATAAACTCTGGGAAGAATACTCTACTGTTGAGAAAGAAGAATACCAAGGATCACAGCTTGGCGATACATGTTTGTCTACCATTGTTGAATGGGGTCATTCAATGAGTGAGTGAAGAGGAATATGAAAATTCCACAGTGAGCACGAAGGAGTTCATCTGTAATTTTTCAGAGAACTTTGCTATGATTGACACGGAGGTTATGTGCTCAAGGCCCACTGACGAGGACAGTCATGGTCCAATGTTTATTTCACTCAGACCAGCTTCCTTTTCATCTGGAGACAGAAGACAGTATCGCATGGGAGCAACACTTCAGGAGGCAAAACTGCGGAGGAAGGAGAAACAGAAAGAGAATAAAAGGAAAGGAAGGCCGCCAACTTCTGATCAAGCAGCTTCATCGTTTGCAGCGGCATAATTCCTGAGCGAAGGCTGAAATTTAAATGATGGCTAGGAAGTGAAGATACTTCTGATTACAGTTGATACTTTGCTTCCAAGCTTGACTTTAAGTTGCCGGGCTGAAGTTTTAAACTTTAGCAGGTAGATATGGACAGTTTTACATAACTGATGATATCTATCGCCACCGCTCTTATGAAGTGACCTCTAATGGACAACCAGTCATGGTTGATGATTAAGTCATTTCATGATTTGCAATTGTAGTGCAAGATTTTTTTGTACATACATTTGCCGGTATCTCCTTCTTGTGTTTTTGGTGTCAATGAGAGAAAGAGTCCTTTTGATGCAGTTTATGAAAGCGGCCGAGACCACTTTTTGAGAAGACCATTCCTCGGACCGAGAGTTGACGCTCCTTGCATTTTGCAAGGCATCTTAATTCATTGCATTTGTGCGGTCTTGAATTTTTAGTTCTTTCGTGATGCGAGTGTCGTTTACTGCTTTTATAGGTCTCTGTGTAAGAAGCCGCTTTCCCTTTTTGTTTCTTTAGCTTTGGCTATTTAAGGGCTATTGAGCGCCGGTACACGGTATCTTCGCCGGTGAACGATACAGTCTCCAGCCGAGATACATTGTCTTTGACTTTGTATTTGAGGTGAGTCAGCTATTGCTCCCTCACTGTATTTAGTAGACCTAGAGATTACCTTTTCTAAAGTGTGAAACACACTGGATTAGGTAAGTACAGGGCACCGTAGTTTCCTTTTAAGCTTTTTAGAGCTTGCTGGACTGTTTTAGCCTTACGGTAGAAAAATAGTGTGCGACATACGCAATAGGCAGGAGTGGACATGAATTTTGTGCCTGCTGAAATGTAGAGGCCTACTTGTACAGGTTCCACTCCAGTGGCCTATCTAGTGTGTCCATGCTTGACTGCCATAAGGCTCAAGAGAGGGTCAATGGACCAATATAGGATAAGACTCTGCGTGAGCAAAAGACACTAGCGGTCTGCACCTCTACCGTGTACGCCCTAGTCACTCTTTCACCCCCCCCCCACATGGTAGGTCAACAAGGTCAACAAGGAATGAGATAACCACTCATGAGGTCCACTCCCCCTGAATTATCGGCTCAGGGAGCCATCGTAGTCGCAGTCGTCGTCGGTAGTAGGTAGTAGGTAGTAGGTAGTAGGTAGTAGGTAGTAGTAGGTAGTAGGTAGTAGGTAGTAGTAGGTAGTAGGTAGTAGATGGCCAGGGACACAGGATCAGATTAATAGGGGCAGTAGTGCAGATTATTGATGGGGGACCGGCCCTTGTGAGGGGTACCCTTTGTGAGCTTGTCAAATGATTGTTTTTAATTGTTTTTTAATAAGGCAATTTATAGGCCCTGAGCCCTAGACATTTTAAAGGATTTCATCAAACAGCAGCAGCAGTAGCAGAGCAGCAGCAGCAGCAGCAGCAGCAGCAATAGCTACAGCAGCAGCAGCAGTAGCAGTAGCAGTAGCAGCAGCAGCAGCAGCAGTAGTAGTAGTAGCAGTAGTAGTAGCAGCAGCAGCAGTAGTAGTAGCAGCAGTAGCAAGTATAATGTCAAGTCAGGATAAATACTAGTTAACCCCTTATTAAAAGTAATATTATTTTTTTTGGATTGTGTAGGCTCGGATTAACTGGGGGGGGTTGTTGGTAGAAAATTAGACAATAGGGGGGGAAATCAACAGCGAATAATACTTTTAATTTGGGCAATTTCCGGCGGCTTTGTGGGCTCGGATTAACTAGGGGAGGTTTATTAATCCTATGTTTGCATTAGATAGAGAAGAGGTGACAAAGGACCAACTTTCCAAGATTCAACCGTAAGTGCATTTTATATATTGCGTAGGCGTATATACAGGCAGCATATCAAATTGCAAGGCTCTCACTAGACAAAGGATCCAGCATCCATCAGAAACAGAAGAGCTATTGAGATCAGAGGCCGAGCCAATTGCCACCTTTTGCAAGCTGTTTCGTGACCGCCTTGATCGTCTTCTTATCGGCTTGGGTCAGGGACCAGCTGCCCATTGGAGGAAGCTTTATTTTACTATTTTTGTTTGCCGGACAAGGTCCGCACACTAACTTTGGTGGTTTGATTTCACCCTGGCCGGTTCTATTGTTTTTCCACTTGACTGCGTTGGGGCTTGCCAGCTGTCGCTTGACCATTCCGTCATCCGCGGTGCTGGACGTGACGTGTCGGCGTCATCCCAATGGCCTTATTGCAGCCCGGCTTTGGTATTTCATGCCCCTGATGGCTTCACATTCTTTTGCATGGCGTTCGCTTCATCCAACAAGTGGGGCAGCTACCAGGAATTTTCAGCCACCACCATTGTCGGGCGGTACGCGCCGCTTTCGGACAGCTCAAGTTTGTGCCCCCCTTCCTACCATTCGTACTAAACACAATTAAAACATCAAGAGAAACCCACCATTTGTAGCCGGGTTCCTGTCAGATGCCATATATATATATATATTGCCACTGAATTGATTTCCCATCGTTGGAGCACCAACTCAAGGCAGCCGGTCTGAGCCACTCACTGCGACCGTGGGGGAACCTACGTTCCATGCGGGCGGGTGTTGCAGAAGCGGCCCGTTGTGACAACCAAACAGATCCAAAAAGGGTGCCTGACGACAGGAGGCTGTTGGATGATGTTTTCTCCACCAGGTGCCGGGTGGGCTACGGTGCGGAAGAAGTGGACAGCCGCGGAAGAAGTGGACCTGCAACGGAACACCAATGGCATTCGGAGGACGATGGTCTAACCATGAAGGTCCATCTCAGTGATTCTGGCGAGGGCGAGAGGGAGAGTGTCTTCCAAAAGGGAACAAGTCACGTGCCAGCACCTGTCATGCCAGAATCATCCAGCCAACAAGTAGTATGTCACAGTGTGCCAGGTCAGAAAAAGTCACCCAGTCATTTTGGATCTATTTGTGCATCGCTCGCGTGGCATGGCATGACATGATTCTGCCTCCCCAAGGAGGTTCCACCCCTTGGACTTCGCCGCCGTGGGAACAGAGCGGCCTCGGCACGTCGAACGGGCCGGTCCACCGAGGCGAACAGCGGGCTCGACGGGATGTTGCTGAGCGGCCGTGAAGGTGGGGGAGTGGCGGCTTTGAAACGGCCAGGCGTCACCGTGAGGCATCACGGACATCGACGGACCACTTAGTCGACGGACCACGTTCGAGTGAAACGTCACCAGGACACGGCACCACGTCGGAGCCGGTGTGGTGTGCTTTTTGGTCGGATGCCAGCGATTTCTCCGCGCGCTTTCTCGGAGCCACGCGTCACAAAACAGATCAAAAAGAGAAACTCCAGTCTGGTATCAAGGCACCTTTCAAATGGAGGAACCGAGGAACGTTGCAAAGAGCGGGATTCTGTGATTTCGCGAGGGTGGGGTGAATCACATGCCCATAGCATTAGCATGATCACCTAAACCGAAACCACACACTCGATAAGCCAACAGAATGTTAACCGTAAATAGATCAACGGGGTTAATATGGGTCGGTGGTCATGGGCCACTCTACTGTGTTTCACAATCGCTGGTTCCGTTTCAGTGCTGGGCCCCCGATGCAGGCGTGCCACGTGCGTCCCAGCCGGTTTACAGGACAGTTGGGCGAGTTTGGCAGAGCAACGAAAGCAGTTGGGATGAACACCATAGTCTTAATAATAATGGTTTTACTTTGGCTTGTTCACCCTGCCGGCTACAAAACACTAAGACTATATGAATTCTGAATGCCATATTATTTTGATCATTCTGAAAACCATAGTGTCCCTCCTCAGCCGAGAATATAAGCAACATTACATTACTCCCCTGTTCTCTACCTTTTGTGGGTTTGCGTCGGTTCATGACCCAAGTTACGTGATACTGCAAGTCCTACCTGATGCTGTTCACACAGGGATCCCGACTTTGTCCCAGGTGAAAGCCATAGGCCATGAGTTGGTTTGCATGTTGCATAGTGTTCCCCAGATAGATCCACTTAGTAGATTGGAGTCCCTCCAGCATGGTTCCTAGACTAGACACTTTGTATTTTTATTGGTCCAGTCCACTAAGGTTTCATGTGTGGTACATGTGTGATGTTAATATGTACGTGTGGGTTGTCGTCAAGCAGCCGAGTGCCGAAGCCATTTTGGCGACCGCCGGCGCAGTCAATAGAATTGGCGCCGTGGTCAGGTTTGGGCAGGCAATCATAAGAATTGCTCCAGAAAGCCAGGGGTCCAAGCCAGAGTCCAGCGTTGTTAACTTGTACAGTTTTGCGGGCTGGGCTTTGGCGGTCATCGTGCTCAACACGGAGTTGGCTTCCAGTTTGTAATATCTTGAAGCCCTTTGTCTGGACCAATCGAGGAACTTGGGCGAATCAATGATGGCTTTTGGCTCCCACGTGTTCTTCCTCCTGTGCCTTCTAGCGGAGGGGGCGCGTGAGTCGACTGACGAGGGTGTCTTCGTTCAGGTCTCGCGCGCGGGACAGACAGATGCAGCTGCCACAGCCACATGGGAAAGACAGCTGACAGATGATTTGCCAGCAGCAGGTCTGGCGGTGGGCAACATGGATGAAAAAGATTGGCTCAAACCACAACATAGACACTCGTACGGGTGGTTGGAAGACGCATGGTCCGCATGGTTGGAAAGAGAATTGTCCTTCAATAGCGCATGCGCAAGATGTTTGGGTCAAAACTGGGCCGGGCCTCATTGGGTGTGTATTTGTGGAGCTTGACATGCTGCTGTGGTTAGTGCTGTGCAGGGATGGGTTCCTGCTACCCGGTGTCCTTTCATACTGTTTTGGTGTGAGCCTCTCAAAGCTGGGGCTATAACAAATGAAGGAAGAATCGGGGGGGACGCTGGTTTTTCAACCCACTGATGGAGGGAGTGTGTCCATTTCCTCAACCAAATGCTGATAGAACATGATAGAACCCAAGGACCTAAGATTATGCCAGGTCCATGAACTGGTGGACCTACACCAAACAAGCTGCAAAGATGCAGCTGCACTAGTCACTACCCTATAGGTCCTTTTTAGACCCACGAGTGTTCGGGCCGTCGTGACCGGCGGCGCGGTAGGGGCCTCTAAAATGGCCCGCCGTTCTGAGGCAAAAGCCCGAACATGTCATTGGTCGCCACAGATGTGAAAGTGAACCAGAGCGAGGAGAAGAATGCTCCTCGGACGACGAGAGATGGGATTCCCGGTGCCAACAACGGCAGAAGGTAGACACGGACCTGGCGAACTCACCTGAAGCATCCACAAGCGCCTTTTAGCATGAGTTGCTTTTAGAGTGAACTAAAGCGAAACAAGATTAAATAGATTGTTTGGATCCTAAAACCCCAAACTAAGATGCACTCCGAAAACGCTGAACAGGGGCGTTTGGATGACGACTGCTCACCACAGATCAGCAGTTTGGGTGGTTTTTGGCCCTTCTATGTCAGCCCGCTAGGGCAAACATGAAATGTGCAGAAAATTTGCACGAACTCCGGGCACCATTTCATAGACCCAGCTAAGCATACCAAATTGCAAGCTCTTGTTCCAGCCACATATCCATTGCATGCAGGTGGGTGTCCGATGATTGTCAAGGCTAGTGGATCAGTCTATCAGCCCAGGAATTACCTTCAAGATTCCCTTTGATCTTGAACACATACATACTTGTAGGCACATTCGGGTACACTGGGCAGCTTCCCCAATGCATTGTGAACTTCGTTTGATGCATGTAAGAACTTGCTAGATGCTGTGTTTGTGCCAGTTTGTGCTCCAACTCGTTCACAAGGGCTTCGCTGCAGCTTCCAAGTCCCAACTCGTTTAGATGGTGTGCAGGAACAGCTTTAGGAGTTTGGAACTTCAATCGATCATTCAATTTGCTACTGGACGTCGTTTTGTTGCTAGAACTTGGAATCTAGAACTTGGAATCCAGGGCATTTGACATGTCAAATGTTAAAACATGTATATACTGTAACTAACCCGGACATGTGACATGCGTGGAACGAAAAACTCCATCAACTTCGTGAAGGGTGGAGTTCTTTCAAACCAGTCCTGGTGTCCAGCAGAAGCGCCCAGGCCTCGTCCTCCAACATCGTAGTGGTCTCTGGCTGCATCAGAGAGACAAATGAGAAGTACTCGGAGGACGGTTCTGAGCTGTGCAAGATCGCCAAGAGAAACTTCCAGAACTACTGCGACTACCAAGGCGACATGATTAAGAGGACATAGATATAATGGAAAACAGATCTGCAGAGAGAGTTCCACAACGTGCGAGGCAAATCTCATCAAGTCTTCAAGAACAATCACTAGACTAAGAATCCAAACATGGTGTTGCATCATCAAAAGGGCGCCAACTCCCGCCAGCTTTCATTTCAGCGAGGCTATCGATTAGTTTGGTTTGATGAGAAGCAGCCCTTGGCTGAGCATCGCAAAGCCACCTGGTCCAAGATCGTGGCGCTTCAAAAGGTCTTGGAGGACAGCCTCATACTTACTTACTAGTGCTTCATGAAGAATTGTACAATCACATCTTCCCGTCGAGAACTTGTTGCTGAATCAAATTGGCAAACTATGTATTGATGGGTCAGGGCCCTGTATATACACCTATCTGCATCCAGGATGCATTATGAGGCTACAAAGGTTCCTTCAAGCACTAGGTATTATGTTATTGTCATGGGATGACACATAGGTTCGGTCACGGCATTTGCAATAAATACGCTATGCTGCCATCGTCATTGGCTTTTGTTGTTCACCTTTGTCTTCTTCATCTACACCTCCCACTTCACCCGACAAAATGTCCGAACTTGCGCGAGGACAGTGTGGAGTTGGGCTCACCACGTGTGGACTACGTCTTTTGGATGGACTGCGACTCGCTCTTCATGAACTTTGCCAGGAGACTGGAGGACTTCATCCCCAAGGTGGGCACTCACGTGAGCCCCTTGGCCGAATTCGTTGCCAATGAACTCGACAAGGCTCACCGAGGACGTGGGATCCTGCACGACTAGTTCATAGTAACAGTCAGTCTACCGTATCCTGCTTGAAATCTTCTTGTGGAGAATCCGCAGATTCAGTCGAGTTCGCTGACGAGCCCATGAAGCACTCACATGCGGGAACCCTGGAGGGCCCTTTTTTTGATTTTCTTCTCCATGTGCATTAACACTGGTTTTTGTCATGAACAGTTTTTCAATGTTTTTCAGTCTGAAGTCGCTGTGAGCTCTGAACTGCGCTTTGATGAATCTCATGTGTGTGTGTGTGGGTCAAGCCATATTATAGCTTAGCTGGGTGGGCATTGTTGAGGAGACAAGCATCCATTTCAATACATGTTTGGCATTGTCCAAGAGTGACAGCCCATTGTTCACATCAGATCAGTGGATTTATATTGGATCACAGGATTTGACGCTGGCCTGCTTCGCTTGGGCTTAGTGTTGGTAATTGTCAGTAGGCGCCCCTGGAAAAGCCAGAAGAACCAAACCTTTGAATATCCCTAAACCTCTTCCGCCTCTTCCAGGAAAACATTCAAGGATTTGCTTGGATTTGGTGAATTGTCAATTCTTTGAAGCCTTTTGTTGGGGCACGATGCTTGCATCCTTTTGTTCCCTGCTTTCAGGTTTCAGCCCCGGGCAGTTCTGCTTCTTGAATGCTGGACATCTAATGTTCAAGAATGATGCTCAGATGCGGCGATGTGCAGGGGAAATGGTTTCGAGCTGTTCAAGCTCCGGGTACACTGATATCACACATTGGAGGCACAACATGGTCCCAGGTATGGGAATGCAAAGGGCTACCAAGATTTGGATAGTTTGGCGCAAGCGTATATAGCCAAAGGAAAAAATTGGCAGCCCTTATGTTAGATGGATGTCAATTCTGTTGGTTTGTTATCCAAGTATGTTCTCCTATGTGCGATGCCAATCCAGGGTCACAGCAAAGCTCAGGTCCCTACATGTCCTCGCGCTGTCAATTCCAGGCCACTACCAACAATGCTTACCATCAATGTTGTCCGCCTGGCAGACCCAGGAGTGTGAGTCTCCCCCCAGAAGAAAGACACAGTCTGACAAAGCAGGGTAGTCGGGTCCGCTCCCAGCGAGTTCCAAGGACGCTTGGACGGGTCGCTTTCTGGAAGATGTGTGGAAGACCTACCCTCCGCCCAAGCCTTGGCATGAGCAGTCGGCCATGGTCTTCACCTTGTGGAGCTACGCGGAGGGCCGGGGGAAGATGACACTCAGCTGAAGCATAAGATGGGCTCAATATGGGCGCATTATTGTTTTAGGGCTCCCTTTTTTTTTC